GCGTACACAGCTTGCCTTCAGCCTGACCCACTTCCTTCTCAATTTCTTCCGAGTAGCCATCCTTGGGCATCTGCCTCTTCTTCGTGATGCTGACATAGGGCTCTTCAACTCTACCAGCACGGAAGTAAATGTAAAAGACTTCCACGCACCTACAAACAAATCAGTAAACAGAATAACAGGAAAAAATGAAAGAAAAGCATCGGTCTTCCCACTCCTTAGTATTTTAAGCCATCACATACTAAGTCATTTGTTCACAGACCAAAGCCTGTATGTTTTCTCCTCTTGGTAAGTGTGGACTATGACAGATTTCACCCTTTAATACATGATCTACATGTGACTAGACAGCAAGAATCTGGCAGTGCCCTTTGGGCTGCCTGTAGTACTCAGACACAGGAGATAGCTTAGTTGTTTCCTGTGAGCTGCCCTTGCTCTCTGCCGTCCTGCTTAAGTCCTTAAACTACTCATCCACTACAATGTTCATAGGCTCCCAACTCAGAACCCGAGTTGGAAACATTTCTTCAGACTCTCTTGTCTTTCTCTTGGTGTTATCTATACACCTGTGATGTGGCAATAAAATCACGTCTCATACCTTTGCCTTAAACAAACAATCTCAAGACACTGGAGAGAAGCTCAGGGTACGAGCAGGTGCACACACCTCTAATGGTTGGACTCTAGTCCTTGCTTTAACAAGCAATGGTCTCCAAAAACAAGTAATAAGCCATAGCAGCAATAACAAGAACAAGCAGTTTAGAGCCTCACAACTCTGGATGTTAACGTTTTTAAAAAAAGACACAGAAATGGGAGCTTTACTCCTTATGTTTGCTTACATTTATTGCACCATTTAAAGAATATTAAACCCAGTCTTGCAAAAAATGTGCTAAATAAGAAGATGCAGTGTTTCCAGTTGTTGCAGCTCTTTGTACTTTAAACACAGGTGGAACCAAACCCTCTTGTTTACATAGGTCTAACATACCACAGACTAACTTCCAAAGAAAAAAAAGCGGTGCCAGCACATACATTTCTATTCATAAATTACATACTGTTGTAATACACGCTGCCTCTACCCATGCACAGAGAATAATCTGTACATTTGGGAGGGCATGGAAAAGGGTTAAAGGGGCTGGCTGGCAGCAGCAAATGCTGTAACAATGAGGACAAGTTGGCTCCTTGAGTATTACAGAAGATAATACAGCCTCAGACATATTTACGAAAGGAAAGTTTCTGAAACTTCCTTCCAATGGCTATTTTTGGCAAAAACTTTAGAAAAACTATTCTAAGAGAATTACTTGGGTATGAAGGTGTCAAGGGTGGGCTTGGGCATCAAGCAGGACCCAAAACACAAAAGGGAGCAGTCAGCCTTTTCTGGGAAGTAATACCAAGCAAGGATCTACTGAGGTACGGATGAATTCACAAGCTGAGGGGGAAGGGAGAGGAAAGAAACATTACTTCTGTCACACTGCATAGGGTACTAGAAATACAGGGTCTGCGTGGAGGAGTCCACGTACAGCAGGACCATAAAGGATAAATGGCATCGACTACTGAAAAATAAAACCCCCAAAAGCCCAAACCCAATGTAGACACAGCCTGTTTTCTCCTTTATGCCTAACACTGGTATGGGCTTCAAGAAGAAAAACAATTGTAGTGTGAGCAACAGGACTGGTGAGGGCTGGTGTCCAGCCCAGAGGGAAGCTCAGGGGAGAGAAACACCCCCTGCAAGGGCAACCTGTGACACCAGCTCTGCTCACATCTCCTCCCATGGCCCGACATGCATGGTATCTTCTTCTCATGTAGGTATCACCCCTGGATGAGGACTGAGTTGTCTTCTTTCCTTCCATAGTGCCTGCTGGGATTCATCTCCTCCACCTGGTTGCTTCTGTAGGTAATACTTGCTGGAATGCAGCATCTCCAAGTCTCTGACAGGTCAGATTTGGCTAGTGAGTTTTTGTAATGTACAAATAAGGCTTATCTTCCATTTAAAATTATCTCACTATCACAAAGCTTGTCTGAGACTCTGAATTCCCATTTCCTTCTCAGCTTGATTTTTTTCAACAATTGCCAAGTCAGAGTCTAACACTGCCTTCTAGGGGAAAGCTCACAGATCGAACCGCAAAGCAGCACTGATGGAAATTCAAATTAAAGTATACTGATTTCTGTTTTAATAAACTCAATTTCATTTTGCCCCGCCCTAATGGGACCACTAGCAAGTTTCACCCACTGTAGATGGAGCACAGTTTTAGAATCCTGTAGTACTATCCTTGACTCACTGAGCTTCGGCTACTATTATCACTAAAGCTATTTGAAGCGCCTGGCGTGCTGGAGGCTCCACTCACAGTGGTGACTTTCTATTTTCCCCTTGTTAATCTTCTCAGCCCCTGCCAGTCTCATTCTATGTGAAAGAATCCACACAGCCAAAAATAAAGTGTGAAAAATTAATAAAGCACAAGAGCTTATGAAGTCAGAGATTCTGAAACCAACAAATTGATTTTATTCCAAAAGAAAGAACCCTGAACATTTTTGTCTTGCTTAGTATTCACAGCCATCTATTCATCCTCAGCTGAGGGCAAGTCTGAAGCTATTACGGAAAATGAGATCTCAGCATCAGCCTCTGAACTCTTGCCGTGTGTGATTAGAAGTAGTCTAGGGACCCATCTAACAAATATGTGGTAATCCCATAAAAGGGATTCCAAGATTCATAAACTACTGGCTATAGCAAATATTACAATCAACAAGATGTTGGATTCTGAAGCAAGCATTTGATTTGTATTTATTAGCCAGTTATTAAGTAGCAGTATATTCTTTGTGATGGGAAATTTTATGTCCGTATAGAAAAGCAAACACAGTGTGAAGTAAATGGTCTGATGAGCAAACCTTAGGGCCAAAGGGGACTTTTACCAGTGAAACAGAGTAAAAAAAATGTAATCTGAATGTCTGCACATACCATCAGTCATGATGCCCATCTTCTGAGCCCTGCCCCTCCCGTGCAAGACTGTCTCTGGAGATCATGCCTTCTGGGGCCATAACAAACGTTCTCAAGACTAGCTGATACCACTGCCCAAGCAACAGCTTCGAACAGGAGCAGACTGGCAGCTGATACACTAGAAAGAAAGAGTACCAACCTAAATGTTGAAGTAATAAAGTGTAAGAGGGTCATAGGCACTTGAAGAACCATCCAGGTAAGAAGGGTGCAGAACAGTGATGAAGAATCAATTCAGATCACCTACCTGTGCTATGTTATGACTTTGCCTATGAAGTACATTCAGAAAGGCTGTCTTTAGATGAACTGGCTTGCTCTTTTTTAGTATGAAACACAACTAAAAGACAGCGCAAGAAGGCGATTGCTTCAAGCCAGTTTTCCTCCACAGTTACAAACTCTGCTACAGAACAGGGAATTCCCCAGAAGCCCCACTTCCTCACTGCTCATTGCTGCTCTGCTCTGGAGGAACAGGAATAGGAGATCCAACTTCTGCACAATCCGTCTCCTGCAATGTAGTGATGTTTAGGGCCCTTTCCACAGATCCTCACACGCATCAACAGCAGAAGGAGCACAGCTGGCTGGTTTCACTGCATGTATAGCAATGACAGTTGCAGTGCGGGCTCTGAAGGAACTAAAATTATTTTGAAGGAAAAAAATGTCATATCTACTCTCTACAGTGAAAGTTAAAAGGTAAGAAAATGATGGTGTTGCTTTCTCCCTTGCTGCCAAATCTTGGCAGAGAGAAGAGCTATACTTTTTCAAAGATCCTGATGGTGCCTACAAAGAGTGATTCAGCAGCAACACGTTTCTCTTCTACACAGTCAGTAGGAGGAATAATCCCATCCTTATATGCCTGCTGACAGCAAGCACCTCATTCCCTCTTTTAATCATGGATGTGTGGGATTTAAATACAGGCAAAATAATGGTGGTGTGAAGAAGGAGCAGGCAATGAAAACAGGGAACTTCCCACAGCCAACAAGCGCTCCAAGAGCAAATGTCTACTTAAGATACCTATCCACACATGCTCACTGCAAACGTACAAGCAGATTTCTCCAGTGATTCAATTTTTAGCAATTCCTTTTCTTTAGAGAAGTGTGCAAAAGACTTATCAGTCCTACAGATTTACTTACCTGTGTCAGACAAAGATTTGTTCCTCACTCATTGTTCTACCTTCCATCTGCACTGACTTTCTGTTCATCGCCTCTTGGACACCTAACACATCTGCTCAAGAATAAAGAAAAAAAAAAAAAGAAAAAGAAAAGCCTGAAGAGTGTCTAGGCATATTCTTCCCATCTGGAAAAGAGGGAGATGCATCAACAGTTGTAAAGTTTAGACCTAGCAGAATCTCCTACAGTAAGGTCTGCCAATGGAAGCCCTACAAGGAAAGGAGGTTTTTAGACCTATGCTATTCTGAACTATAAAGCAAGTCACTAGGGAAGAGACACCACTCACGACAGACAATGCTTCCGCACAATGTGACTGAAGCATTATCTGCACCATTATAGCATATTAGATTTCAAACTGCAGAATTAGGTAGCCAAAACATTAATAGCTTTGATAATTTCAGCCTACAGGTGTTTTGCTTTGGGTTTTTGTTGTTGTTGTTGTTTGGGGGTTTTGTTTGTTTGGTTTTTTACTTCCTGCAGCTCACAAACGCTAACTTTGGCTGTAACAGCAGCTCCTCTGGCAGTTTGGTGCAAGCTTCCTACTGCATCTGCTTTGCTGCTGTCTATGCGGTACAAAGACACGTAATTGTTTATCCTTATGCCTTGAGAAACAAAGACCAATCCCATTTAAAAAAAAAAAAAAGTAATCTATTGTTTCTATTCTTTTCCCATTAAAATCTGAGGAAAACAGCCATTAGTGTTCCATATAGGGTCCCTTTATACTAGCTTTCGACTTTTTTGATGACGGAAGTTCATCACCCTGCAGGCAGAGCCATCTGCTAATTCCGTGTTCCTCATAAGGAAGAGCCTGTAGGCCCACATTCAGCACTCGGGACGCTACTTTCAAACACAGCAGCAGTCACTTGGCTTTCCTCTCCATGTAGCTGGTATCAGAAGCACTGCCAAGTTCACACCAGTCCCTTCTGGATATGCCGCTTCCGTAAATCGGACAGTAAGGAACCATCGCCACCCAGCAGACACACAGTACAGTACCACCAACACCCCCTGCTTGTGACTGTAGTGACTGTAAGCCCTGACTGTTCAAGTCAGTTTGTTTGAAATCTGTGCTCCTCACTTCAGCTCCTGACCTATTCATGGCTTGCAGAACAGAAAAGGGCAAGCAAATTAACAGGGGTTTCTCTGGCACCCTTCATGAAGAACCACTTGCATTTTGAACAAATCCCTAAGTGCAGAGCAGCACCCTAGCAAAAATACATCCAGTTATTATTTATCAGAATTGTAGCAGCACCAAAAACCTCAAGGCAATTTTGGTGCTACAGGTGCTGTCCAAATGAATAGGGAACAAAAAGACAGTCCTTGGCTCAGGAGCACTCGATAATGAGCCAAAAAGCTCATCATGGTCTTTTCTAAAGAAAAGAAAAATGTATTAAATCTCTCATTGACACTGGCTATCATTTCAAACCATTTTTTTTTTTGTGTATAGTAATTTACTTTATGTGGTAAAAGAATCTCCTTTTATGAAAAAAAAAAAAAAAAAAAGAAAAAGTATCCAAATATATTTTCTAAGCATCCAGACAAATTAGCACGCTCACAAGGAGCGGCACCGACCTGAAATGCTGCAGGAATCCCCCGTGGTGCCCAGAAACCTGCAGTCACTTTGTTCCAGCCAACTCTTTGACCAGTCTCCAGCATGCCTACATACTGGGAATCAGAGCCAGGCCACCGAGGCGGGTAGCAATTTTACTCTACAAATTGCTCCAAATGTACAGAGAAACTCCTAGGGAGTGGGAGAAGGAGCTAAGAAAAAAAAAAAAAGTGTAATAACAGTACTCTCCCAGTGCAGCAAAATTCCTCTCCAGGAAGAGGGATGCTTCCTAATTTTAGTGCTTCCAGTGGTAGCAGCAGGACAGCGAGTGCCTCCCGAACAGGTGGGGTGTGGGTGTCTGGGGAAGGTGGTGGTATGCAAGAAGGTTTTATAAGGGAATGTACTTTTTTCCTTGTTACATAGAGGATTCAAAATAAGCCGGATCATTTGGCTTGCACAGCTAAATACCCTCCTTCCCTGCCAAAATGTTTCCAAACCATTCCCCAAAATTTAAACTTAATTTTTTAAAGGAAAAAGGAAGGGGGAAAAAAAAAATGTCTAGCTTTTAAGATGATGAAGAAAAGTCACACAACATACATGGGCTGTAGGTAAAGCAGCGCGCTGATAGTATTTGAATCTGAACAGAGAAATGCTAACTATTCTGTATCATGTCACAAACCCAATAGAGATGGTTAAAAAGTTAGCGTTAGCTTTTTTGAAGCCAGCCGACACAGGCTGCCCTCTGTTGAAGCGTGGCATCTCCCACAGCCTAAAGGCTCTTTAACATTTCATTATGATGCTGCAAGCAGGCAGAGCCTGGGGCGGCTCTACTCTCTAGATGTCCTCCTTGGCCTAATTTGTGCCAGTGAGATGCAAGAGAGACCGAACACAGGGGATGGAGTGAGGCTTCATGCTGGGGAAGCAGATGGGTAACAGCAGCAGGACTCTCTGGTGCAAAGGGGCAGAGGTTTGCCTAACAGGATGAGACACAGACTTGTGCATATTCCAGTCCACGCAGGACAGAAAGCCTCCTGTGCAAAGAAGGGAAAGATAAGGTATTTCATGTGCTGAAAACACCTCAGCTTTTACAGTGTGGATCTACACCTGATGGGAAGCGAACAGTTTCCTCTTCCGACAGAGACAACAACGTTTAGTGACAGTGGATAGGAAGGCAAGGAAGGGAAAAAACCAAAAAACGACCTTTAACGTCTGTCTCAGACTTTGCCTTCCCACACTTCTGTACTGTATCCTACAAACAGGCACATTTCCCTGAATCTAGAGAGAGGTTGTTTCCTATGAAACTTTTCCTCTTAATTTGTAGAGTCCTTCCAGCCTTTGGCAGGAAGTAAGTTTTTCAGATGGCACGAATGTACTACCCTCTTTTTATTAGTAATTATAATTCCAGTTATCCTGCATCTAGAGAGAGGTTAACATGCATCACTTCGCACTGTCTAAACGATGCCATGGGGACTGCGGCACAGGCACGCTGCAATGCTTCCAGAACATCTTCAAACCTCCCGTAAACGCCAAGTTTCTAAATCTTTGAGAAAGGCAGGAGTGCAGAGCTGGTGACACGCTCCTGCACTGCAGCATCATGGAGATCCATCCATCCAGCATCATGGAGATCCATACATCCATACACCCACTAGCTTTACAGCAGTGACCACGGCTGGGAGCTTGCCAACACAGCAGAAAGTGTGTTCTGCACAAGATGAGACTTGTGTTGTAAACAGATAAACTTGATGTTGAGGAAGAAAGAGAAAGTGAAATCATGCTTGGTGGTTAAGGTCAAAGCTGAAGTTTATGTCTCTTCCAGATACTTAGAAAGAAAATTCTCTAATTTGTTGTTGCTTACATCCTTTGTTTACTTCTTCACATCTTGCAGCTTGACATGACATTCTTTCCTTGCCTGACCTCAAAAAATTGATTTAGAATGAGAAAAGTTGTGAACATAATTTTCATTTTGATAGTTGCTTTGTCTTTGGTTCCACTCTGATTTTCTAAAGAACGTGGGAGTATTTTGTTCTGAGCCTTTAGAAAAATCAGAGCTCGTCAAGAACTTCCCTGTTCAGCCATAACTTCAATCTCTTTAAAATAGTAACAAAACAAAACAAAAAATCCAGCCGTGGTTATAGAGGAATTCAATGGTTTTGAATCGTAGGATGTTCTGTAACATCCAAATTGTTCACCCTTATTAGCACGAACAAATCTTCCTTTTCTGCACTGTCCAGGAATTTCAAGAAGTTGGGGATACTTCTATCCTTTACTACAAAGATACTGTATTTAATTGCCTTTCTTTTCAAAGAAAAGATTCAAGTGTAAATTGAAAATGAAATCCCCCAGCAAACATTTTATCAGGGGGTTGCACCACCTCTGTAACTTTTTGTCTATCTGTTCGGGTGGTTTGTTTGGGTTTTGGTTTGTTTTTTTTTCCCCTAAGGACATTTTCAGTCAGAAGTTGGAAAAAAAAAAAAACCAAAACCAAAAATCTCCCCAAAGCAATTTGGGGCAAGAAACTCACTTGGGGAAAAGAAAAGACAGAGGAAAGCATCACTAGTATTTCCAGGGTGCACAGAGGGGACGGCTCCTATCGTTGTTTCAGACAACACCCGAGCAAGCCTTCCTTTCTTCCCTTGGAAGTGACCTCCCGGTACGGCGGTGGGGACGAACC